TATTTAAAATTTATTTAATTGTTTAGAATAACAGTTAAACTCTAAGTTCAAGGAAAATAAATTGAAAATCTCGTAAACTTTTATTATAATTGTATTGATAACTAGTTTTCGTTGCCTTTGCTATTATGTCTTTCTCCAGACATCTATCCATAAGCCATAAACACAAACTTAAGCCTGACTTCAGATTAAGTCATAATTCTGCGAATAGACTATAAAAATAAATTATCTCTTATTTAAAGACATACTTTGAAAGTAATATTCAAGTTTTTAAATCCAGTACAGTATAAGGAAAATATTGTTTTTATTCAATAAATAAATTTCGAGTAAATCATTAAAAAAAAGTCAATTCACAGCAATCGAGTCCACATAACCAGTGGTGACACCTCTTAGTTCACTCCAGAGGAATACAAGAGTCTTCACACATTGGCACCGAAATACACAATCATTTATCACTCAATTAAGTCTCTGCTTCTTCTCGGGTGGTCCGGCGCCGGGTGTGTCAGCCATTCGTCGGGCATTAGGTGCCGGTGCGGTCTGGGATGGGGCGGCAATGGACTCAGCCTTTTCCACTTTAACCTCCACTTTGGTCTCGGCTTCAGTCGAGTTTTGGGAGGAGTTAGCGCTCGCCTTATCGCCGGTCGGCGGCTGTTGTGGTGTCTGTTGAATGAGTTTCGGCGGAAACTTTTTGGTCAATTCAGACAACAAGATGTCGACTCTCTTGCGCTGGAATTTAGTGCTGCTATTCATCTCCTCTTTGTTCTTCTNGGCGGCTGTTGTGGTGTCTGTTGAATGAGTTTCGGCGGAAACTTTTTGGTCAATTCAGACAACAAGATGTCGACTCTCTTGCGCTGGAATTTAGTGCTGCTATTCATCTCCTCTTTGTTCTTCTCCTTCGATGTCTTATCGCTCTTCTCTTTGTTGCCGTCTTTGTCGCCATCTTTGCTGAACTCAAACCAATAGCCTTTCGACGGATGATATCTGGAGTAGGAATAGGACTCATCGAAAGCGGAGGACAAGTGGTGGACAGTGGAGAGGATCCGCGAGTTTATGAGTGAATGCAAGTCCGGCGCCTGATATACGACACCAGCGATGATGTAGTAGTCGGCGATAGGGGTGGCCTGAGTGGGGGTCTGGCGGTCCTGCTTTCGGATCACATACAGGATGGGCTCCTGACAGTGGAGGAGGATGTACTCAATGCCCTGGAATTTGCTACCCGTCCCCACAATCACACAATTAGTCACTGTATCAGTTGGTGGTGTGGATGGCATACCTGAGCTGTTCAATGGCCAGTCTCTGCATCTTCAGGATCTCGTTATTACACGTCCTGTCATAGAAGGGATTGGATCTCTCGCTGAAGTACTCCAAGACATTGTGTTGGTTGAGCACTGGTAGCCATTGGCTATCACACCAACTCAGATGCAGTGAATTCTGGTCTGAATAGACATTCAATGAGATTCAGAGATACCGATGATGTCTACAAACCTTTCAAGTCATTCATCATAACAGGTGTCCACTAATTGTTGTCACAAATTGTCACTAATTGTCATAAAAGTGAACACATTTTCACTCATCAATTGAGTTCAATGCAAACACAGAGACAGTAATAATAGCGCTCTCTATCGACAAATACAGGCAATGCTTGTAATGCTTTGCATAGCTTTCACTGAACTCTTCTCAACCCACTGAAAGTGCTGTCATTTCCCGCATTTGACACAAAACTTTTGCTTTCATTTGTCGCAATCATTAATTGCATTGTTTTCATGATTCAAACTATTGAAGCTTCAAGTTGGTCACAGTCATCGCCACAAAGGGATTCAAGAAAGCCATCACTCAAAGACAGACAATTCAGACACAAGTCTATAGCAAAGACTCTTTCGATCGCTTTGGCGATGATTTGTGTCAACTCTTGTTGTCTTATCTCCCATTTGATGATCGCTTCCGATTTGAATGCATTTCCAGACAATGGCAGCGATCGGTGTTTGTGACACAGAAAGAGCTCATTATCGATGAAAAGTTATATAAAGCGCTAAAGTCTTCCACTAAAAGACCAATTGATATGAAAGCCTTCGGGAAAATGGTAATGAAGTGCTCAGAAGTGACTGCCATTAGGTGTTGGGAACAACCGATGACTACTCCTATGATTAATGCAATTATGAAATATTGCCATAAATTGAACAGAATTTGTATTAAATTTCATATAAGGGTTGGCCATAAAACTATGGACGAGTTCTTGGCGAAGTTTGGCCACCAATTGAAATCATATGAATTGATTCCTCGACGCGGAAAACGAAGAAATGGTGTAATGATGTGGGGATTGAATCGGTTGATGACACATATCTGAAGTACATGAAGACGTGTCATAACATCACCGAAATGGGTGTGAAGCCGATGGATGGTATGGACAGTCGTATTAAATTCGAAAAACTCTTTGACCCCAAACCACATATCGCTTTCCCGAGACTACAGAAGATATGTTTTGTTGGTTTCGATGATATCTGGTATTACGATAAACCCGATGACAATAACAATGCATTGAAAGTATTCATCGATAACCATAAGAAGACATTGAAGTGCATTGAAAACCACACTTTGAATACATTTATCATTGGTTTATCACAAATGAAGGCATTGATTGAATTGAAGATATCTACAGTCTTTGAATATAACGACACATTTACCAAACAATTGGCACAAATATCCGCTAAATGTGTCCATTTGAAGAGTCTTAAGCTGAACTCTGTTGAAAACATACGGGACATAGTATTGGCCACAATTAACGATTGCTTCAAACATTTGAAACGTTT